ATTCGTTCAGACACACGAAATAATTCACAAAAGCACCTGAGAGGGTTAGGTTAGGTTAGGTTAGGTTAGGTTAGGTTACGTTACGTTATGTATTTTGTGATTTGTTCAGTTGAAATATTTGCTTGTTATACGCTCTAAAGTTTACTCTAAAATTAAGAATATTTTATTCTACACATGCTTTATAATTTACATTATAATTTATTTACAAAAATAATCTAGATTTTAATCTACGGGCAGGACAAATCATTCAATCATTATATTGTTTACTCTATAATTCAGAATGAGTAATTACAAATGACTATGATTCAAAATAAATATTTATGAAACACAACCATTAAATATCTATTTTATTACATCACTAGCGGAATCGCCGCCCTCCGGGCGGCTCTTTCGCTCGGCCACCGTAGGACGCCACCTTCTGGGAGGCTCCACATTGTCTCACTGTAGTGCATTAAGTTAGACCACATTTTTGGTTTTGCCATTAGCAGCAAGTATGTACAGATTTTTGCCAGTTCCCACTCTGGAGCATCCAACATAGAACTGTCCATGAGAGAAGCAAGGAAACACCAGGTTTAGGCCAACCATCTTTAGGGACTGTCCCTGGCTCTTGTAGATGGTCGGTCAGGGCAAAGCTCACTTTAACCGGGAACTGAAGTCGCTTGAACTCAAATGGCAGGTTCAGTGGTGATGAGAGGTATCATTGGTATAAAAACGTCCTCTACTTTAGCTTTTCCTGTCAGTATTGTAGCTTCCAGTACACGTGGCATCATCTTCTTCTTGTGAGCGACTCGTCTCTCATTTTGAGTATGACGTCTCGTTTCTCAAACTCTTGACCGACAATCAGGATGGCTACTTCATCAACTACAGGAGGATTGAATCTTCTTTCATGTTCTCCCTTAGGGGTCGTGTCTGCTTTGATCCTGACTTTGTACTCGTCAGAAGGCATGTTTTCCAGAGCATTTTTAAATGACTGTACATACGTGTTGCGCTCATGCAGCATTTCTTCGATAGATAGGACAATGTCTAGTCTGACACCTTGAATATTGCCACAACTGATAGTAGTCTGCTTTTCATGATCTCCCATGAAGTAGATTTGGAGGAACTTTGCCTGCTCATCTTCCAGTGGTAAGAGGGATCCTGCTTTGTGATAGACTTGACCCTGGACTTTGAGTGTGGGCATGTATCTGTGCTCACGAACTACTCTGGTAGCTCCAAAGGATGTCATCTGGAAGCATGAATTGTACTTCAGTATATTTTCCAAGAAGTGTTTTGACTCTGGTGTTGATCCCAGCATGAGAGTCTTCAATGGTTGCGGTGGTTTTTTCAAATCGGCAGTCGTACTTTCCCATGAGAGCAGCACAGTCCAGCAGATTCTCCTTTATACTTCTTTGCACCGCAGTGTTCACATTTCTTATCCATGTTGCCAATGACAACAGAGGGATACTTTTCATATTCTATCTCATTGTCATAGTTAAATGCTGCTCTTGCAAGTGGATGCCACTATGTATGCTTTCTTAGAATTCTGGATCCCGCAGCTCTATTAGCATTCAAACGAATTTCATGCGCTTGATCATTTTCTAGAGAAGGCCTTTCTGCTGTTTGCTATCTGTCAGCATTAAGACGGGATTCCCTTTCCTGATCTGTTTCCTGTGACCGACTGTTTGCTTTCTGTTAGCATTAAGACGGATTCCCTTTCCCCATCTGTTTCCTGTGACCGACTGTCCACTATTTGCTTTCTGTTAGCATTAAGACGGGTTTCCCTTTCCTGATCTGTTTCCTGCGACCGATTGTCCGCTGTTCGCTCCGGGCGGCTCATCCGCTAGACCAGGGGTTCTTAACCTGAGGTCCGTGAAGGTCAGATAAAAATTTAACATTTATATTCACTATATTTTTATATTAAGTTGTTCTATTTTGTCAATATTTACCAGATGTAATGTGTGTATTTTTGGTTACTGAAGAAAACCAGTAAATCTGTAGGGTGGCATTGGATGCTAGTGTACACGTGCTTATTAATTTTTGTTCATTAGTTACTTCTTTCCATATAAATTACATATTTTTTTTGTTTTGCAGGCCTAGCTCAATTTGGAAATGCCAAAGAAAAGGAAGTACAACGAAGCTTACTTATCCTTTGGTTTTACTTTCATCGCTGAACGCGATGGAACACAAAAGCCGCAGTGTTTCCAGTGTGGCAAGGGTTCTTGCCAATGGAAGCATGAAGCCAACAAAGCTGAAGGAGCACCTCACGTCTGTCCATCTTGAAAATGCATCGGACAGTGTTGATCTATTTCGTGCAAAGAAGGCTCGATTTGAGAAAGCTGGAACTTTACAAAACTTGGATTTGCCCCAACACAGAAGCCTTGTCTTGAAGCATCCTACAATGTTGCTTATCTCATTGCCAAGCAAAAGAAACCACATACGATTGGAGAGACCTTGGTAAAGCCATGTGCCCTGGAAATGGTCGAGCTGGTTTGTGGCTTGGAGCAGAGGAAGAAAATTGCAGCAGTGCCTTTGTCAAATGACGTCATCCACTCTAGAATTGTTGACATTTCTTCTAATTTTCTGAGACAAGTAATGGAAGAATTTGCAGCTACGCCATTTCCGTTCAGTATGCAACTGGATGAAACTACTGACGTCTCTCAGTGCAGCCAGCTCCTGGTTTTCGTCCGTTATATGCATGCTGATGCTATCAAAGAAGAATTCCTATTTTGTTAGCCCCTTTTGGAAACTACAAAGGCCATCGACATCTTATTAATGGTGAATAGTTTCTTTGCCAAGCAAAACTTCGACTGGAAGAAAAATCTTGGTACTCTGTGCACAGACGGAGCACCTGCCATGCTTGGCAACACATCTGGTTTTGCTGCTTTGGTGAAGAAAGAAGCTTCTCAGGTCATCGTGACCCATTGTTTTTCACATCGGCATGCATTGGCGTCAAAGACTCTGCCAGCAATTCTGAAGGAAGTCTTGTTTACTGGCGTGAAAGTCGTCAACTTCATCAGAGCCAGGGCTGTGAACCATCGCGTTTTCAAGAGGTTTTGTCAAGAAATGGGAGCAGAATATGAAGTTCTTCTCTACCACACAGAAGTTCGCTGGCTTTCCAGAGGACAAATCTTGAAGCGCTTGCTTGAACTTCGAGCAGAAGTTTCACTTTTTTTGAGAGAAAAAGAAAGCCCACTCTCAGAACAGTTTGAGAGTGAGGAGTTCATTCATGGCTTGGCCTACTTAGCGGATATTTTTGGCCATATGAATGAGGTGAATCTTGCGATTCAAGGCCCTGGAGTCACCATTATGGATGCTGCTGAAAGACTGCAAGCTTTTCTGGCCAAGCTGCCACTGTGGAAGAGGAGGTTGGAGGCAGACAACTATGCAAACTTTCCAATGTTAGAGGAAGTGCTTCTGCAGGATGGAATCGAGAGTGACAAGGCCCATTCAATTTCTCTGCAGGAAGAATTCTGCAGATATCTGGATACTCTGCAGAACTCTTTCAAAGGTTACTTCTGCTCAGGTGACCTTAAAGTTGAAGCATGGATTCGTAATCCTTTCCTTGCTGACATAGACTGTATCAGTGATGAAGACCTTGCCAAAGATGACCTCATTGACCTGAAGACAAAGGAAATGTTACGAAATGAATTCAACTCGAAGAGCGTTGGAGAATTCTGGTGAGCGTTGACACAAGCCTACCCTCGTCTGGTAAAGCGAGCTATGGGCGCTCTGATTCCGTTTGCTTCTACGTACCTTTGTGAGTCAGGGTTTTCAGCACTTGTTTCTATCAAAACGAAAAGTCGAAATCGATTGGAAGTCAAAGATGACATGCGTGTTACCTTGTCAAAGACCACTCCACAGATTCATCTTCTTATTCAGGCCAAACAACAACAACCTTCTCATTGAAATGAACTTTTGAGAAGAATTAAAGTTTTGTTTTGTTTAATTTGCACAAGATGATTGTATTTCATTTTTGTATGGAGTGGCCATTAATTTTTGCATAAAAAAGCGTGAAACATAATTCTTTGTTAAGATTGTTTACTTAATTCATACTTTGTGTATGTCATACACTGTATGAGGCAATGAATTTTCAATAAAATAAAGTATATTCATTGCATTCAAAGTTGTGTTTATGTGCTTATGTGCATTTTTCTAGGGAGGGGGTCCATAGCTTTCACCCGATTCTCAAAGGGGTCCGCGACTCAAAAAAGGTTAAGAACCACTGCGCTAGACCAAGGTAAGACGCCACCCTCCGGGAGGCTCCACATTGTCTCACTGCTCAGTCCCCAAAACTTCTTCTTCCATCAATAGTTCATTAACGGTGTATGTAAGTTCCACCATGTTTTTCACTACAACGGTACAGCAAAGTATATATTTTTAGCATTAAACTGTTATTATTTTATTGTCTCATCATCACTACATATAACATCATCCATCATCACTACATATAACACTATCCATCATCACTTCATATAACACCATCCATCATCACTACATATAACACTACCCATCATCACTACATATAACACCATCCATCATCACTACATATAACATTATCCATCATCACTACATATAACACCATCCATCATCACTACATATAACACCATCCATCATCACTACATATAACACCACTTATCATCACTACATATAACAGAGAGAGATACTATATAATTTACTGTATAATTCGTTATAATTTACTCTGAACTTCACTATAATTCCCCGGAGTTCCGTAAAGCCTTTCACCACAAGAAGTATCTGTATTTTTATCTGTACTTTTACTTGTACCTAAACTACATCTGTTTTTGCTTTTATTCCAGCACCTGTATATGCACCTGTATCTGCATTTGTATCTTTAACAGCAACTTCATCTGTACCTGTATTAGTACCTATACCTGTAGTTAACCTTAAATAATGCATATGTACTGTTATCACATTAAACCTCTTCCACCTATACCTGACTGTCCCTCACCTTGTGCCTCTTTTTTTTTCCTACTCTAGATGTTCTTTAATATAAGCACAAGTGTTACAGGAGTGAGGTGCTGGAGTAATAAGACACGCTTGGTGCTGTTACATTGTCTCAAAAGTTAGATATTTATGGTCCGCCCTTAGGGTAAGATGGTGAAAGGCTCTACACATATACACCCGCTGGTCTCGTCCTTAGAGTTAGCAGAGGAAGGAGGGGGAAGAGGAGGAAGTCGCTTATCTCCTACCGGCGTCGTTCATCACCTTGGGCAGTCCCAGGATGGAGTTGATGAGCTCAGAGTTGCGCTTGTGGGGTCCTGCGGCCATGGGTCCCCATGGTCCCTGAATCACACGCAGGATCTGAGCTGTCAGCTCTGCCACCACCTCACGCTCAGGATACTTGAGTTCCTGCGCCTGGGTGAGGACGGCGGTCATCAAAAGCAACATCAACATCGCTACGGCCACGGTATTACGCATTTTGCTTGAAGGTGGCGTTTGAGATAGACGGCAGAAGAGGCGTGATGGTGGACGAGTCTGCCAGTCCGTCGTCTTTTATACTCTACCTCTTATTTGTGAATTGACAAACAGAAAAAATAGGTGGAAGATAGACGCATGTGTCCTGTGCATTAGTAAGATAATTGACCTTTAAATTGATGGAAGAAATGTTAGACTCATTTAATAATGCAAACAGAATCATGGGCTATCTATCTATGTATCTATCTCTCTCTCTCTCACACTAACAGGGTTACCGGTGTCCATTATTCCTTGCTCGTGTAGCCAAATGACAACAGGATCATGTTGGTTCACTTGTCACGGCTGAACGGTGAAGACCAACATGCAGGATGACGTGTTGATATTATGTGTAATAATAATAATAATAATAATAATAATAATAATAATAATAATAATAATAATAATAATAATAATAATAATAATAATAATAATAATAATAATAATAATAATAATAATAATAAGAATAACAATAAGAATAATAATAATAATAATAATAATAATAATAATAATAATAATAATAATAATAATAATAACAATAATAATAATAATAATAATAATAATAATAATAATAATAATAATAATAATAATAATAATAATAATAATAATAATAATAATAATAATAATAATAATAATAATAATTAACGGTTTAATGAAAAAGCTCTGCAGCCCGAAGGCTGAAAATATACATTGGACATAAATGACTTATTACATTCATTGACATTGGTGGTTTAGCAAAAGCCTTCATTAGAGAAAGGTAAAGGAACAGACAGTGAACATACAGATTAATGTTTACAGAGGAGGTAACGTAGATCTTGTGCGCTGAGGTGTTGAACAGCAGACACGTAGTGCAGTAACTCCCTCACAGATGGTGTTATGAGGGGCATAAACTGGTGTAGTAGTTCCCTCACAGATGGTCTTATGAAGGGCTTGACGTGGTGTAGTAATTTCCTCACAGATAGTGCTATGAGGGGGCCTGATGTGGTGTCGTAATTCCCTCACAGATGGTGTTATGAGGGGCATCACGTGGTGTAGTAGTTCCTTCATAGATGGTGTTATGAGGGGCCTCATATGGTGTAGTAATTCCCTCACAGATGGTGTTATCAGAGGCTTGATGTGGTGTAGAAATTCCCTCACAGATGGTGTTATGAGGGGCCTCACATGGTGTAATAATTTCCTCAGTGATGGTGTTATGAGAGGCATCACGTGGTGTAGTAATTCCCTCACAGATGATGTTATGAGGGGCCTGGTGTGGTGTAGTAATTCCCTTACTGATGGTGTTATGAGTGCCGGGAGATATGTTAGATGTATTTAAGTGGGTGAAAGGAATCAATAAAGGAGATATAGATAAAGTTCTTATAATATCCGCGCAAGATAGGACTCGTAGCAACGGATTTAAGTTGGATAAGTTTAGGTTTAGGAGGGAGATATGAAGGAACTGGTTCACAAATAGGATGGTGGACGAGTGGAACAAGCTTAGCAACTTTGTAGTAAGTGCTGGAACGCTGGAAAGTTATAAAAGGAGGCTAGATAGATTCATGGATGATAGAGTGGTAGTAAATCTTGACAGGAGCTGCCATGCACAGGCCAACCGGCCTATTGCAGACTCCTTATTTTCTTATGAGGAACCTTACATGATGTTGTGTGTGTGTGTGTGTGTGTGTGTGTGTGTGTGTGTGTGTGTGTGTGTGTGTGTGTGTGTGTGTGTGTGTGTGTGTGTGTGTGTGTGTGTGTGTGTGTGTGTGTTTGTGTGTGTGTTTGTGTGTGTGTGTTTTATGTAATTTGCAAATGTATAGAGAACGTGTCCCTCTTAGCGTTCTGCATTTAAAAATAAATACGGTAGTTTTTCTTACACCAGGTGTACACTTCAGGGTTAAAGAACTTAAATTGGCTGTCTAATTTCACTCCAATATTTTTTTATAGAAGCGAATTTCAATTCATTTGAAAATTAAAGTTACTTTTCTTAATAGTGTAATTTATTCTCTAATTGCTATATGGCATGCCTTTTGACCTCAAACTTACTTCAGCTTACTTTACTTAGCATACTCTACCATGTCTTTTAAACTCACTTCATTTCATCACTTCATCTTATTCATGTCACTCGAACTCACTTCGTCTTATGAAACCTAACTTTAAGTCATGTCACCTCACCTCAGTTTTCACCATGACACTTCAACTCTCACTTAACCTCATGTCACCTGACCTTGCTTCATTTCATGTTACTGGACCTCATTTCACCCCAACCTAATTAAAACGAGACGATTTCGTTTATCATGCGAGAGAATATTGTTTAACGATATTGTCTGTTGTTCGTTTAGTGGTTTCCTTGTTGACCGTTAAGATTAATATTTGGTGTATTGGGAGATACGACAGCACAGCCAAAGTGACAAGCTGCAGCAACTATTGCTGCAAATACTAGTGAATTTAAAAAAAAAGTAGCTATAGCGCAGGAGGTGGGCTCCTCGAACTGGTTAACTACGTTACCGATAAGGGCAAATGGTTTCAGTCTCAATAAACAAGAATTTACAGATGCCAGTGCTCTAAGGTACGGTTGGCCAGTAAAAGGTGTGCCCTCCTAATGTGTGTGTGGCTCTTCCTATGACGTCGATCACGCCATGGTGTGCAAGAAAGGGGGCTTCATATGCATGAGGCATGACGAAGTAAGGGACCTCACAGCTAACATGCTGAAGGAAATTTGCCAGGATGTCATGGTAGAACCGACCCTCCTTCCTTTGGACGGTGAGATCTTCCAACATAGGACTTCAAACACAGCTAACGAAGCCCGTGTTGACGTCAGTGCTCGAGGATTCTGGACACGTGGACAGCGAGCTTTCTTCGACATCAGGATTTTTGATCCCATGGCCGCATGTCACCGTAACCTAGCTCTCAATGCTGCACACTGGTTGAACGAGAACGTCAAGATAAGGACATATGGGGAGATAATTCAAAACGTTGATGAATTGTAGTTTCGCTCCGCTAGTGTTCACAACCTCTGGTGGGATGGGACCAAGTGCAAGATGTTTCTACGCCAGACTGGCGGAGGTGATCTCCAAACGGAAGCAGCAGCCCAGAAGTTATGTTACAGCCTGGATGAGATGTCGACTGTCTTTCTCTCTCCTTCGGTTGGCTTTGCTCTGCCTTAGGGGAACGAGAGCTTCTGCCCCAATGCCGACAACAGCTGCAGATATTGACTATGAGGCTACAGTCACTGAATGCCGCATAGATCTGCAGCTCAACTAATTCAACACAGATAGGATAGCTACTCTTGTATTAGGATATTTAATATTAAGGTAATAAAATGGCGGCGAAGGTGTGGCTATTGGGGTAGGCTGGAGGCCACGCTAAAGAAAACAAAATAGTAGTAGTAATAGTTTGAAAATAAAAGTAGCTATAGCGCAGGAGGTGGGCGCCTCGAACTGGCTAACTACGTTACCAAGAAGGGCAAATGGTTTCAGTCTTAATAAACAAGAATTTACAGATGCCATTGCTCTAAGGTATGGTCGGCCAATATAAGGTTTGCCCTCCCAATGCGTGTGTGGCTCTTCCTATGACTTCGATCATGCCATGGTGTGCAAGAAAGGGGGCTTCATATGCATGAGGCATGACGAAGTAAAGGACTTCACAGCAAATATGTTGAAGGAAATCTGCCGGGATTGATGGTTACAAGTGTTCCCTGAGGAATGCAGTGATGGGTAGGGAAACACTGGGTAACACTGAAGTCCGTTTATTATGGATGAGAGAAATACAAGTGGTGACTAGCGTGTGCCATGCACGGCTCACACAGTCAGACTGAGGCTGCCTTGCCATATGGCAGCCTCGGGGCAATGTTGCCACATAACACGTGCAGTGTTGCCACGTAATTATATATATAAATGCTACTCGGCACAGTAGCTTATTTAAAAGGTTGCTACTTGGCACAGTAGCATAGAGACATAACCTACATCTCCCTCCCCCCCTCACGCTCATAGTCTTTGTCTTGAGCGGACTTCGTAGTCCTAAGTCGCTCCGAGCGTCGAGGTGCACTGTGGGGCGGATCCTCGTGAGGTGTAGGTGACTCTTCCTCGGTCAGGGGGCCAGCAGCAGGGGGTGGGACTGGCCGCAGGAAGCGGCGGTTCCTCCACCAGACACGGCCACTCGGCATCCTGACCTTGCAGTCCCGCGACCGGCCGACGCCCATCACTATGCCCACCTTGTCCCAACGTGTCGTCGTCGGGTCCTGGACGCGGACAAGGGCACCAATCTCCAGTGGCTGAAGAGGGCGGGCACGGTCGTCATACCGAGCCTTGGCGTCCTGGGCACGTGTAGCGGCGCGGCGGTCGCAGCTCTTGGCTCTGGTCTGCCACTCCTTTGCAAAGGCCTTGGCGTGTGCAGGAACGCAAGAGCGGAGAGGGTGACCATACAGGATCTGGGAAGGGGAGCGTCCTGTGTGGGTGGGAGTGGACGCGGGTTCTGGGCAGCTCTGTGAGGCAGCGCCAGGCGCGTCACTCGTCGACTCACGCACCCTGCTGGCGGTGTAACGAGCAGCTGGGATCTGCTCGGGAAAGTCCCTGGGCACCACGCATAACTCCTTGCAGTGTTCCCACGACAACAAGGGTGTAGCGAGAGTAGGCCACACGTCGATCCATCCGTGACACGACCTGTCGCCGTAAGTGATCTCCGCTTGAAAGCAGCCCACAGCGTCCGGCATCTGGGAACCGTCCGCATTGTAGTACTGCAGCTGCGGCGGTGGTCCCAGGTCGCGTTTGGTGAGGCCCAGTTTCTGGAGGTGCTTCAACCCAATCACCGTAGTATCAGCGCCGGTTTCCGGTATCTCCTCGATGTGACCCGACACATCACCGTGTGTGACGGCGACGCGGATGGTAGGGGAAGGGGTAGCCCTGGGGCGTGTGGTCGATTCCACCCTCCTGATGTGACTCCGCTGCTGCTTGGGGCTGCGTGGGCGATCTGGAGGGGGCTGCGTGCGAACCACC